TGCCCTGGTACCAAGGGTTTTGCCTTGGCTACTTGGGGAATGTCGCCCTGATCCAGGATTCCTGAACCAGTAACTGGGTCACTCTGACCCCTGTCGGACAGTGGGGAACTGTGGCAGTACCAAAACCAAACCTGCGTCCAGACCCTCGTAGCTGTCGATACACCGGATCAAATGCCGAGGAACAGATCACACTGAAAAATAAAAAGGTGGAGCTGCAGCATTTCGTTCCGGGGTCGTGACGGCTCTAAGCCAGTGAACTGCACCTGTTACCGAACCTATAGAACGCTGCCATCGTGCCATCTCCACGCAGAACCAATGACCTCGCGTCGAAATATCACTGTCGAACCAGAGATACCGTGGCAAAATATACATGCAGAACCTAATCCGATGCAACCATTTTGTGCCACAGTCGCCCAAGTAAACCGAACCTGGAATAGTCAATCGGAGTCGCTGTGACCCGTATGAAACATGTCGTTGTCGAACCAATCCCGGGCCTGAAATATACCGAATGTCGTAGAATGTCACAGCCCTGTAATAGTACCGCCCCCCCCCCGAATCATGTGTCCGAACCGAACCAGTGACCGAAGCAATACAGTCGGACCAAGGTAGCACCAACCCACGCTGGTCATGCGGCCCCGCTCTCTCGAAACACACCAACTGCGGAAAGGCTAGTAACCAGATATATCAGGTAAGTCACGTGAGCGATCTCAATTATCGGAGAATAGGGAGGATCGTTTAATCAGACTAAATAAATAATCCGGCCCCAAACCCATCACGAATAATTTAAACAGAATTTAATCAAATATTAAATAATCATTAATTTTCTTCCCTGTCAATCATTTTTAATTATTTTTCTTATTTCTTAATCCTATCATCAAAAATAATGAAAATAAAAATAATTCCAACAAAAATGAATTTCGATGGAATTCAATTAAATAACAAAATTTTCTTTGTTTTCTTCTTCTTTTATTGTTTTTGATTCCTTTCCCTATTTTTGATTCTATTACTGGAAATAACAAATAACGACGGTGATTCCATTCAAATTAAATGCCGAGGAAATTTAATAAAATAAAGAATATTCCGTTTTTCTCTTCGCTTCTATTGTTCTTAATTCCTTTTCCCATTTTTAATTCTGGTATTAAAATTAATGAAATCTGAGGCTCCATTCCCGCTCCAATTGTGCAAAGTAAAACGGGCATGGCAAGGCCTACTCCCGTATTCCCTTCCCGCGACTAGCTGCTTCGGGAATAGACTATGAGCAAGCGGAAGAGAGATGGGGCACAGCGTGGTAGACCCGGTAACTCCCCTCGTTAATTTGAGGGTTACTCTCAGTGGTCAGCACATCCAAAATTAGGGGTGTTGTGGGTACCCCTAATTTTCCCCGTCATGTCAAATAAGAGTACCGTCAAAATACGGTCTAGTCATCGGGTCGAAGACTCAAAACCGCTGATTTCGGGTGGCCCACTGCCTGTGGCCGCCCGACAACGTATCAACGGACTATTTAATACTCTTGATCGCATACTTAGAAGATGATCCAGTTGCCACGCACACACACACACACACACACGCACACCCTGCATTATGATCTTTTCGAAATTAAAATTCGATCGGATCATATCTTCAGTAAGATTTTCAGATTTTTGTGGAGGAGGGATTACCTATCTGAACTGAGGAATCAGCTAATATAGGGATTTTCCGTCACCAACCATACATTCGTGCTTTTTCCTGCAACCCTGATGTATGCATCATTATATTCTACCCCCTATCCGAACCCCTCCCAAAACCACCACGAGCAATAATTAATTATTGGAATGAAACCCCTCCATTAAGCATGTGCTCTGGGACGGATATCCACAAGCCCTTGATGCCCTGATACATGAGTGGATCTCCGAACCCTCATGGTAATTAACCTGTTTGCTTCATGGCGAAAGATTTGTGTGGACACTGTTGCCGTTTGTTGTTTCCGCACTAGGGTGCACCGGGTTTGGTGGCTATGGAAACGGTACTGTTGGGATATGGCCGGACCTGGCGTACCACTGTATGGGTGGAGTGCATGACGGATACGTCATGGGAATGTATAGGACACACACATGGAGGTTCACCCCTCTAGCTACTACCGATGGGTTGATTCCCACGGTTCCACCACGGAGCCGGATCAGACCAACGTGAACTACTGTGGTAAGACCACCTGATCGACTCGGGATTTGGCCATTGATGCATCGGAAATGACGTATTTACCGCACTTGTGCTATTGTTTGGTGGCTTGGGTCTATATGGATTGATCCCTATGATGCAAACGCCTATCACCACCCTATATGCAACCGCTTAACACCCCCTTCCCTACCCCAACCCCCCTTCCCCTGACCTCTCCCCTTGAACACGATTTACCTCCTGAATGTAACCCTAAGTAGGAACCCCAGTATGACAGAAACGTGGCTGGTGGATGGTGGGCTGAGACCATTGATAGGAATCAGTTTCTTGTGAACTTACAACCGTATTCGAAACCCATCAAGTCCCTGATCAATGCCATCCACCCTTCGATGACAACCCTGATCGGCCAAAAGGTCGTCGAGGGACTATTCCCCCTAATCACGGAAACCCTCCTCTTCAATGACTGGGCCGACCTTGCCTGGTCCTACGAGCATGAAAAGCATTGTGTGGACCTCATCTTGGAAGGCCACATAGCTAAAGCAGAGGAGAAGAAAAGGAACTTGATCAAGGGAAGCGAGGGGATATTGGGGAGAACCACTAGATTGGAGGAGACCCTCAAGAAGATTTGGGAAGTCGGCGGGGATCTTGAGGTTACGGACACTAAAACGGGAGGGGACGAGTATGACCAAGCGCTCATGGGGATAATGGGAGAGGAAGAGGAGGAGTTGAGGCAGCTCTTGGATAACCAACCTCTGCCCCCTCCCCCACCTGAGGGAGTGGGGCATGGAGCGGATCGGAACAAGAGCAACGGTTTCGTTCCCATTGGCTCTGCGCAGTGGCTCGAGGGTACGGTACGGCGGCAGCAGGATAGGGGATGGGTAGGGAGTGGTTTTAACAACCTGGCCCCGATTAATATCAAGGGCTGAAAATTCCTAGCTGACCTTTCGAAGAGTGAAGTTGAGGAATGCCGAAGGAAGGCGCTAGCGGGGACGCTGGACTATGCTAATGCTACCCCGCACTCTAGCGGCAAGCTCTCCTTCCCCACCTTGAGTGTGCGGACCCCACCAAATGTGTGTTTGCTAACCCTGTGGTTATGCAGAAAATGATCCCATCATCCCTTAGCCTGGACCTAAGGAATCTCCGCAGGGTGTGGAATGCAGGTCGCCCATACCTCAAGTGCAGATGCGGATACAGAAACTCCTGGACCTGTAACGGTGGACCGATCTGGTTCGATCAAGCGATCTGGTATTTAATGGCCAAACCAGAGATTGTGAAACCAGAGGCGGGATCAAACCGGGTCAGGATCGCGTTCCTTCTCCACCACCTGCGCAACTTCTGGAGGGAGCTTGCTAAAGCTTCCGTTACTTTTATCTGGATGAGGGAGATGATGCTCACAGTGTTGCGTAACCTCGAACGCAATCCTGAGCTTATGACAGTCGAAGCTCTTGCAGGTAGTAACTTCAAAGCACATGCTTGCCCCAGGATCTTGGCCAATTTGATTCTTCTTACCCGAATCACTCCCGGACTTCCAGCCCCAGAATTGCCCAAACCGAAGAAGAGGAAGAATAAGTCACCCGTCAATGCGAGAAACAAGAAAAGTTGCTCAATGTCCCCACGACAGCAGACCCTCTTGAACTCATTCAGAGTAGCAACTACCACCCTAGGAGTTGTTGCCGCTTCTTCGAACCCGGCAAGCGTGACTAGCAGCCAACACTCCACGGCCATGACTTAGGATCACCCTGTTTGCACTATGGGTGCAAGCGGCGCCTCCAGGAAACGGAAGAATATAGGTTAGGGAAATTGACCCCGACCCCCCTGTACAAGCATGCGAAGGATATATACATATGTAACGGTATATATGTATATATATATATATATATATGTGTATATGCATATATGGGTGGATATATATATATATATATACATATCTGCGCTTTGATTCACAGTGTGACAATATGTACGCACGCGCACATATGTACACATCCTAGGTTGCATGGAACACAAGTACGCATGCATGTGTGTGCTATCACGTATACATATATCCTAGAGCAGGAATGTGTGTAGATACATACAGGGGATATATATATAGAGATAATATGTAATGATAAACTTGAAACGAGAACTATCCCACCTATCTCCCTTGCCCTGATCTCCCTTCTCTTTCCCTTTCTCCCTCCGCCCTCCCGCCCCCTATCACCCTGCTGATCCCCGCACCCTCCGACCCCCCTTCCCGCGCTCTACAGATAGCAGGTGACTGGGATATCACCAAGGAGGCTATCGAGAGACAGGCTCACCGCCTGGCCGCATCGGAAAGCGAGGTACGGAACGCCTTCGACGCCCTCATTGAGAAAAGCAACCGGATCGTCATCACCATCCTACGCAACGATAGGGAGGAGATTGTTGGTCTCGAACAACCGGACTCGGCGCCACGATTGTGGACCAATCTCATCATGAACAGACTGGAGTCCAACCATGAGGCGGTCATTAATGACTTCATGGATCTTTTCCGCACTCATAGAAGGCTCCTTATTGCGGATGCAGTTGCGAATGACCTACAGACGCGCCCGCTAGAGCGGAGAATTGCGGAACTGAGGAGACGCAACCAATTGCTAGCCAGCACCCTCCACTCCTTCTCTGCCCTCGCGATAGCTCTTTGCTATATCGCCACCCTAACTATATGAAGAGTTGATGATGCTCATACATGCATGCAGGTCTGAAGCGGGAAACCACAACAGATCGAGTGAGCGAAAAGAACCGTGGCCTGCCGATCAAAGTCTGAGATCAAATCGGTGAATCCACTCCTTGGGTGGCATGGCGCTGGAGTTGGGATGACGTATTCCGGAGGGGCTCCGGGTGGAACTTGACCTGGATATCTTCCTACCCTGGCCACCGGCTGGATCCGCCACGAGCAAGATCCTCAAACCAGATATCTGGGAAGCCTAGAGGGGCTCTGTGCAGCCTGCTATACCCATCGACAACATCGTCATGGCGGACATCCTGACGTCGTCTCCGCAGATCACAATGATAGCCGGGGTCTCGCTTAAGGTGGAATATGAAGGGGTGGTGGTGGGGGAGATAAGGAGGTTTGGCACCAGATCGGAGGAAGGGAGGATTAACTGTGATATGAGATTGAGGGGAGTCTCTGGGGATGGGGCTTTCCCCGGGGAACGGACTGGGCTGCTCTGGCCCGTGATAAGGGCAACCATGAAGGATGTAACCTCATCAATAGCTGCTACACTAGACTATGGCGAGGATTTGGGGGGGGGCTGCTTCTACGGATTCGGAGGATTGTTCAGCCCGGGGTCGGATTTCTGGGGGAGAATCGTAAGAATTGGAGACGCCCTGTATGCGGAACCGGAACCTTCTGCACCTGGCATGGACGAGGCGTTGGCGATAACCTGTACGAGTTCCACAACGGCACAGAACGACGACCGAACGACAGCGGGTGATACAACGGATCAGCTGGAGGAAGCGGCACATGGCGGCAACGCAGCCTGATTAATGGGAGCAAGCGAGGAGGGAGCAGCGAAGGAACTACTCCTCCTGGACAAATGCATATACTCCCTACTCCCGGCTCCCTCCTCCAGCCCCCCTCGCCCCATCCTCCTCTTCTTCCCCTTTCTCTCCTCCTCCTCCTCCTCCTCCTCCTTTTTCCCTCCTCTCCCTTCTTCCTTCTCCCCCTTCCTCCTTCCCCCCTTTTCCCGTATATGGTAAGATCCCCGCCTATGCGCATATAACAACGTAATGGAGGCCCCTGGGCCTGATAGGAGCTGGAATTGTCTCAAGCAACGTAGTGTTCGAATGACCGGAATTTTTTGTTTTCTTCTCTTTTATTTTCTTTTCTTTTCTTTTCTTTTCTTTTCTTCTCTTTCCTTTTTTTTTTTTTTTTTTTTTTTTTTTTTTTTTTTTTTTTTTTTTTTTTTTTTTTTTTTTTTTTTTTTTNTTTTCTTTTTTTTTTCTTTTCTTTTCTTTCCCTCCTTTTCTTTCCTTTTTCTTTTCTTTCTTTTCCTTCCTTTCTTTTCCTTTCCTGTTTCGCCTTCACTGCAGGAATGTGTGGGTCGGATCGAGATCAGACCCTCGGGTAGAAGGAGATGGTGTAAGGGGAAGGACGAGCCGCGGAGGAAGTTTATACACATGAGATACGTGAATAGATTAATGGAGGCAGTCTCAGCCAGGGCATTAATCATTTCTTTGATGGCGGCTATTATTGGACGAAAATTCGCTAAATGGATGGAGATCGTCACCCTCGGTTGGACCTATAATAAGCCTGTCTCTAGGATGCTTTATAAACCAGCGGAAGTATTCCGAGATTTCGATCTGGACCATGGGAAGGTAACAAGGGTAGTTGTACCTGTAGCAGTAGATACGCTAGGTTCACTAATCCAGCTACTGGGGGGCTGCTTGAATCGGGGAGGATTGGGGAGACCCTGGGGCATCACGTGATCACCTTGGATTACACAATCTCCCGGTTACCACAACACCTTGGCCTGAATCATATTCTCGCCACAAAGCTAGACATTGAGGATGCAGCTAAGGAAGTTCTGAAATCTTCGATGAGGTAATGACACTATACAGTAGGGAATATGAGGTCCGGGAGGAAGAACTGTGCAGGGGTAGAATAGGAATCAAGCAATATTGTTTTAACAGATTTGCGGAGTATAGGAGGGGGCACAGTGATGCAGGGGTCATTGACCCTAATGAACATTTCCTTTTGCATGAAATCTCGTATATCACGAGATACATTTTTATCGCCTGTATGGATAAAGCGGCGAATACCCCAGTCATCATATGTAAGGATCTGGTAAGACAGTTGGCATTCGAAAGGCTATCCGGACCTAATTTTGAGAAACTCGAGCATAAGTCGGAACAGATAATCGAGATCATAAGCAGTAATAATACAGTGGATTACCCGCTGGGGCCGTATAAAATTCCATATCTCATGCCTAACTTCAAAAATCACAAGAATACTTTGAGATGGATCACTAATGTTAACCAGTGTGTATTTTCCCCTGTTGCCACCTTACGTGCCGGTGCTCTGAAATTGGTCAGTGAGGAGGTCCAGAAGTATTGTAAGGAGATGTCCCAAACAATAAAGAACCTACATGGGATCGATGTGAACCTATGGTGGCCTATTGACTCCATTAATGAGTATGTTCTGAACATACCTGAAAACATCTTCACATACTTCTCTGTCGATATCAGCCGATGCTTTGAGACGATCCCAACGGACGACTCGAAACATGGGTTTATCTCTACACTCTCATTTGCAATCAAGAAAGGTTTTGCATACAGATTGAGAATAGAAAAAGAGAAGTATATCAGAATTACCACCATGGAGGACGAAAGAACTAAATACGGATGGACTAATTCGAACAACGGGAGACCTGGGGAAAGAACGATTGGACTTGAGCAGCTAGTGGCAATGAATCAATGGCTGGCAAACAGGAATTACGTTCAATTCGGAGGAAGAATTTGGAGGCAGAGAAACGGCATCCCTATGGGCCTCCCCTGTTCACCCATCTGGTGTAATCTATACTTTTTTCGATATGAGTTCGAATGAATCATGAGATTGTTGAGAACTGGGAATAAACATCTAGCGGCGCTTTTCTTACATACATTCAGGTATATGGATGATTTAAACGTCATCAATAACACCAGCATTCGTAAGTTCCTTATTGAAGGTCACCCCCTCGATGAAGAAGATCCTATCTGGCTGTACCCCTCGGAATATATTGAAATCAAGGAACTGAACATTGACGACAAGACCGGTACATTCCTTAATCTGAAACTGAGAATCGAGACACCGGAGGGTAAGTACAGCACAGAGAAATTCGATAAGGTGGAAGAAATGGGATTGAAGGTAAACAGATACATTAGATTTGAGTCCAACAGGCCAATCAAGCAGTCGCTATCAATCATCCTTGGGCAGGTAGCGGTTGTGCTCATTGTCTCATCGGACCCCACCTCAGCTGCACGAGACATTGGAAGGATTGTGAACAGAATGAATCAAAATAAGTTTAATGAGAAGAGGTGTTGGGGAATGGTAAGGAGAGTGTTGAAGAACCCTGAAGGGCCTGAACAATACCACCCATTTCGATGTGCAACGGAGGAAGTCTACCGCATTCTACAAACCTCATTCAGAATGAGATACTAACCCCTGTTGTGTGTGCTTGTAGTGTGCCGTGTGTCTGTGTGTGATGTGCCCCTGGACCCTCTAAAGAGATGGACTAGGGTGGTATTTGGAAGGGACCTGTCTAGGACAGCTAGTGGGTGGGACACACACACACACACACACACACACACACACACACACACACACACACACACACACACACATATACAGGTTCCAAGGAGGACCAACTTTCGAGGGATGCAGCAGCAGAGAAAGGGCCCGAAGGAGAGCCCCGGGAGCATGCGGACCCAGGTGACACTATGGACAGACCCAGAACAGACCAATACCCCAGGACAAAAGCCCGTACCCTTCCGGGGACAGAGAGTGACCAGGCTTGAACTTGGGATCTACGGATAGAGTAGGCATATGCCCGCAGACCCACCCGTCCGTAACTCCCCGGGGAATGGAATGGAAAAAATAAGCTATCACCCTTTGAACCTACCTTTCACCGGAAGGGCGATAGGCCTCGATCTCGTGACCTATGAACTACGCATACGGATACCGCATCACCTTTCGGTATCACCGGATCAAGGGGATCAGGGCGAATCCCCTTCGAATCGGAGGAACTTTGCCAAGGTACGAACCCGGAAAAAACACACAGGCAGAGATCACTGCCTTCCACCCAGGGGGTAAGCCTCGTGCATGAGCAATTACGGGAGGGATACACTAGGTTAGGAGGTCTTGAACCTGGGATGCATGGATCAAACCAATTATCGCCCCAGGCCACCCTCGATACCACCCGAGGAACGAGGCGATAACCTGTTACGATCCCTCCCCCGTGATTTTTCTGTTTTTTCTATTTTTTTTGTTTTTTCTGTTTTTTCTGTTCCTTCTGTTTTTTTTGTCCCTCCTTTCGGCTCTTCCTCCCCTTGCCATTTTCTTTTCTCCCCTTCTCTTTTTCCTTCTTTCTTTCTTTTCTGTTTTTTCGTTTTTTCCCCCTTTTTTTCTTATTCCTTTTCCTTCTTCCACGTGGAGAAACAAGCACTGCCGGACCCCTCCACTAGGCGTCACCCGGAATGCGAGGGGATTTCCCGTATCTCCCGCAATCCCAGGAACTAATTAGTAATTCCCAAGGATGAACGGATGGGGGTAGGACTTCATTGAACCCCGACAAGTGGGCTCAACGACACCCACCCACCACATGCATACTATCAGTACAGGGAAGATACCTGTGATTGCCGATATGCGACTGATCTACCCCTCCCTCCCTTCCTCCCTCCCTCATGTTAACCACGCCCCCTCTACGGACCTTACTGAGTGCTCCCTGAGTATATATAGCGATCTTTCCCTGGATGAGTAGTAAGCGCTCGGTAGACGGACCTCTGGGGTACGGATACTGAATAAGTTGGGTACATCCTACGCAATCATACCTAGTGCAACTACGGTGGATCGAGATCCTGGAAGCGGACGGAGCCTTTCGGCGATGGCGGACTGGGAATTCACGACTGGAGCGGAGGAGGACCTGCCAATCACGCCAGAACCTGAGGAGGATATYGTGGCGGAAGAAGCRGTATATGGTCCTCAATCTCCTCTCTGTATATGTGTGTGTKGGTGGGAAGGGATATGGCTGCCTATGTTGGGCTGTGAATGGATGTGCTGTTTCGCAGGATTATAACCCCTCTGATGAGCCGGTTGAGTGGCAACGGCGAAAAARCTTTTAGGGGAAGCCACACCCCTCCTGCGGCGTTGTTCTATCCATGAAGATCGACCRAGCCCCCTTCCTTGTAATCCCAGACGTYSTGCCAGRCCTGGTTTCTRAGTACGCGAACTGGGTATCTATCCATCTAGTTAGCTCTAGGAAGTGTGGKTTTTGGGACTGCTCTGGCAGATTATCAGGCATTTTTTGCAGTCCGACGAGATTTTTTGYCATTGGAATYTTTTTTACTTCCTGATTGCAGTTGTACGTATTCTGCGTCTTGCTCTCAACCCTTCCTTTCATCTCGATCACAGATAGAGCACACCCTGACCTGGCCTTCTTGCGTACGTAACTTTATACATGTGATAAAAGGATGATGAGCTTCTGGCAACAGTAATAGCTCCTTCATTATTATTATTATCATTATCATTATCATTTGGGTARCGATGATATTCTATGCTACCCCCCAMCCCCTCCCCTCACACCCGTATTTGATGCGGAACCCTTACCCATGATTTTTGAATGATGTGCTCATGCAGTGATTGATTGCGGCCGAACTACCCTGTGACCATGATCTATAAGGTTTGATGGACCCCCTTCTCGGCACCCTCAGGTACGATTAAGACTCATGAACCAAGTATGCTTTCGAGAATACCCTGCAATAGGAATCTCCCTTCATCGATCATGCCGATAACCCGAAGCGAGTATGATAAGTGATATCCTGCCCCCGAATATTTCTCCTTGCTGGAAACTACAGCGTGGGCAATGAC